AACAGTAGGAACAGGGGAACAGAGGGGAACAGCTAGGAACAGAGGGGAACAGCAGGAACAGTAGGAACGAGGGAACACAGGGAACAGAGGGAAACCAGGGGACAGCAGGAACAGCAGGAACAGCAGGAAGAGAGGAGGAACAGAGGAAAAGAAACAGGGGAACAGAGGAACAGACGGGAACAGTAGGAACAGAGGGAACACAGGGACAGCAGGAACAGAGGGAACAGAGGGAACAGAGGGAACAGCAGGAACAGCAGGAACAGCAGGAACAGAGGAACAGATGGGAACAGGGGGAACAGAGGGAACGAAGGAAACAGCAGGAACAGAGGGAACAGAGGGAACAGAGGGAACGGGGAACAGAGGGAACAGAGGAACAGACAGCAGGGAACAGAGGGAAACAGGGAACAGCAGGAACAGTAGGAACAGAGGGAACAGCGACGGGAACAGAGGGACAGAGGGAACACAGCAGGAACAGAGGGAACAGGGGAACAGAGGAACAGAGGGAACAGAGGGACGAGGAACGCAGGAACAGCAGAGGAAACAGGAGGAACAGAGGGAACAGAACAGAGGAACAGAGTGAACATGAGGGTACAGCAGGAACAGCAGGAACAGTGGAACAGGGGAACACAGGGAACAGAGGGGAACACAGGGGACCAGAAGGAACAGCGGAACAGAGGAACAGAAACAGAGGGACAGCAGGAACAGCAGGAAGGAACAGCGTACAGGGTGAACAGAGGGAACAGAGGAAACGTAGGAGACAGCATGCAGGCAAGGAACAGTCGGAACAGAGGGAACAGGAGGAGAACAGTTAGGCAAAGAGGGAACGTAGGAACAGAGGGAACAGTAGGACCAGAGGGGGGAAGGCGAAAACACAGACCGGGGGGAACACCAGTAGGAAAAGAGGGAAAAGCAGGAAACAGTAGGAAACATGAGAGCGGAACACAGGGAACAGAGGGAACACGGGAACAGCAGAACAGCAGGGAACGCAGGAACAGAAGGACAGCCGGGAACAGGGGGGAACGGGGGAACAGGGGAAACAGAGGGAAACAGAGGGAGCAAAAGTCAGGAAAGAGGGAACACAGGGAACACAGCAAGGAAACAGGGTGGGGGGAAACACAGGGGGGGTCTTTTCGGGGTCTCGGGGGGGGGGGGATGGGGGGAACCGACAGAGCGAAATACAGCAGGAACAGCAGGAACAGCAGGGGAACGGGGAACAGGGGGAACAGAGGAACAGCAGGAAAAGCAGGAAAACAGTAGGGAACACGATTCCGGGAACAGAGGGAACAGGAGCACAGAGGGAACAGAGGGGAACAGAGGGAACAGTAGGAACAGAGGGAACACAAGGGAAAAGAGGGGAAACACAGGAACAGCAGGGAACAGTAGGAAACAGACGGAAACAGCGGGGGTTGAGGGAAAAGAGGGAAAAAAGAGGGGAACAGAGGAACAGAGGGAACAGGGGGAGGGGGAACAGAGGGAACAGAGGGAACAGCAGGCCGGAGGAGGAACAGTAGGAAACAGAGGGAGCAGAGGGGCGGGGAAACAGAGGGAACAGTAGGAATACAGGGGGAAGGAATTACAGGGAACAGCCAGGACAATCCGTAGGAACATAGGGAACACAGCGGGAAAACAGAAGGGAACAGCAGGAAACAGGGGAACAGTTTAGGAACAGTAGGAACCGCAAGGACAGCAGGACAGCAGGAGGAACAGCAGGAACAGAGGGAACAGTAGGAACAACCAGCGGAAACAGTGGAACCCTGTACTATATAGAATCAGTATAGTAAATGTAATGATGAGTGCATTATTTCGTGAAAATTAAATGACGTACAGCCCAGTTTTATTAAAGTTTCACAAAGGTGCAAACTTAAATGAAGTAACAGCCAGTTTTATTTAAGTTCACTAAAATGCCAAATCAGCAGTTACTATTACTATAATGATTAATATAGTAATGGATATTTAATTTGAGTGCTGCAGGTTGTTGTTGTTTGGGTGGCGGTGGTTAGGCCAACTTAGAGTATGGGAGTGAGGTGTGGTGTGTGGGAAGTAATAAGATCAGGCAGCTGCGTTAGAATAGAAGAGCTAAAGCTATCCTTGGGGGTTCGTCTAAGACATTAATGAAGCCGTTAGGGATATGGGGCTTGATACGTTACAAGAGCGTAGGGATGAGATAAGTTGAAGTGTTGGTATGATTGTCAGGAAATAGGTATCTGAAGAAGCTTTTAATCAGGAATTGGAATTTTAAGCACGGAGAGGCAGGAGGCAGAGAGTGTTGGAGTATGATCTCTTTTCGTCATTAGGTCTGGACAAGGCAGAGTGGTTGCATGATATTCAAATGGGGATTGCCCCTTGAAGGGCTTCTGTCTATAGTAGGGGACAGTATTAATGAGAGGGAGATAGAAAGTTTGAAGAGGGCTAAATAGCAAAGTAAAGCTATTATTGTATAAGACATTTAACAATGTGGTAGAGTTCAAAAGTACTTGCATGGGAAAAGTGTGCTGGGTCTAGATTAATGTTTAAGTTCAGGTCAGGCACGCATGGGCTAAATGAGGAACTGGGTAGGCATAGGGGGAGGGAGGGGATGAAGGAGTGCCTGTTGTGTGACGATGAGTGTGAAAGTGTGAGTCATGTGTTGTGGAGTGTCAGCATATAGTAGTCTTAGGAGCAATTTCTTAGTTGCCTGCAGGGGAGCTTGGGACGATGGGTTTGAGCATTTCCAGTCGCTTGATAGTTTCAGGAAAGCATCCTTATGTATTGGGTAGTGAGCTGTAGGGAGGATAAATTGGGTGTTGCCGATTGTTGGTTTTATTTTGGATGTTTTGGGAGCTATGGAAGGTAGGTTATACGCGATATCCAAGCATACAACAGACCCAGTTCAGATTGGTCTGGGAGCTGATGGTGTGCTGGTGGTAAGGGGTGAGTTGAGGTGTCTGGGAGGTGAGACAGACACCTCATGTTCATATGGTGTATGTTTGTTTGTTACGGTCGCCATGTCTGGGTGCGTGGTCTATGGCCATACTGAGTATTATTATAGGGCAGCTAGTAGACTTTTCAAAATGAGTGGAGATAAATTAGCTATCATCTCGCAAATTTAAAAAGATGAAAAAGGAGACAAGATAGGGATACTATGAAGCACGGTTAATAAAGAGAATAGAGAACGCTGACATTCCCCCGATCGCTTCACAACAAGCACTAAGTACCGTAGTACTTAGTACAATGGGATGACACAGGTTTTGTCCTGCATTATGCCCATACATTTGAGATTTTCATGTTTCACTTTCAGTTTCAATAACATGCAACTTTTGACGACATCAACTGATCGGTATTGTCACAAAGAGCATTATCTAAGAAACGGGTTTTAATCGCATAATCGGTAACCTGATTTATTCAGAAAGTTAGTTTTCAAAATTTCGTTGTTGTTGTTGTTGTCGTTCAGTTTCAACAAGCATATCCATGACAGGTCGTGCAAGAGTAAACAAAAATTATGATATAGACCATACCGTGGGCTAAGAAGTGTGGTGTTTGTGCTGTAAACTTAGATAGTTGGTATGTCCTCTACCTAGGTAGTCTAGCAGCAAATACCCAGAGGTAGCAAACTTTGTGCACACCATCATTAGCATCAAGAACATTACAAGTTGGTAAATCACAACAAACAGCCTCGAGGCACTTAAAAATGGGTTTGTGCCTATAACTTGCTATGGTTGGTCTCTAAACATGAACTGGTACACTGATGTACCATGATGCGAGTTCATCGGGAAACATAAGTACAAGCTTGTAACCAACAACAAACAGCCTCACGCATCAAACTTTAATATGGTTTTTGTGCCTATAAATAACTAGTGCGACGTATGTCCTCATAACAATGAAACTTGGTACACTGATTCCTCATGATAAGAGTTGCATCGAGAACAAGGTGTAACACCAACAAACAGCCTCAGGCAAAATCCTCCACCACGCCTCTCACAATGAAAACTTGTTGCACTGATTTGTAATGTGAATGACGACAAAACGTCTGCAGGCAATAGCTTAAGGCTACTAATGTAACTTTTTATGGTCTTATGCCCAACTTTTTATGCACACATGCATGTGAATGCAGCTAAAAAGGAAAGGAGACAAGTAATAAAATCTTCCAATTAAAAGAAATGTGGAAAATAGGGATCCAGAAAAAGTAAGGAGACAGACTAGTATGACACTAGTGAACATGATGCAGTAGTACAATGGATGATGGCTACATACTTTGAACTGACACTGCTGTAAAATTTCCTCCACACAAGCCCTATATTGTCGGCACCTTTACTGTTGTTTAGTGAAGTGGGAGGACAAGTGAAGTGCCGAGGACATATGTGAAAGGATTTGTATGTACGTAGATGGCCAAGAACTCAGCATCTTAAAACTGGTTAGTGAGCAAATGTATAGAAGTCTTAGATCCACACAATGCAGTCACACTGAAAACAGAGTAGATGGTATTACCTGTTGAATGTGCTTATGAAATATCGTAGCTGTGCATCACACAAGGGCGCACACTCGTACTTCGCAACAATATAGGGCTCGTGTGGATGAAATTTTACATGTCAGTTCAAAGTATCTATCCATCATCCATTGTACTACTGCATCATGTTCACTAGGTCATCCCTGTCTTGTCTCCTTACTTTTTATGGCATCCCTATATTCCACACTTCTTTAATTTTTTTAATTTACTTGTACAATATTGGTTGACTAGGTTGAAGTATTAAACATTATTACAATAATTATGTCATGGCCTTATAGCTTGAAAAAGTCATACTACGGAATAACCAACTCTGTTACAGAGTCCAAATTCAGTTTATGAGTGGCACACAAGGCACCAATAATATAGGGATTGTGTGATTGGGTTGGGGGTGTCACTGTGCTCGAATCTGTTCGTTAATCATGTTGCACGTATTCCATCCCTATCTTGTGTCCCTTCCTATTTGTACCATCCCTATATGCAAAATCGCAGGATCTTTAATTTACTTGTCCAAATTAACCTTGATATTTTTGATGTTCCTTTTCACTAGAAGAAAATCCGTAGGATTACCATTATGGATCCATGGTGATATGAGAGCCTGGAAAGAATTTATTAATTCCATATTAATTTGTGATTTAACTGATTGCTATAGCAGTGATGATCAATTCAATCACATGTGCTAGGAAAATCATAAAGTTCTCCACGACACACAAACATCCATTACCATCATTAGAGATCGCCCATAGTGTGATGTTTGGTGTTTCAGTTGTAACTCAATCTGATGCAAAACAGACTCAACTCGTTCTTCTTCAAAGCCTTTCCTGAAACATTGGGTTAAGATTATACCTAAGTAGTTGCTGTCAATGGTTTGCAAACTATTTGGGTTTTCACCTGTATTTATGAAATATATTGTTATCACAAACACTCTAAAACACTCTTTGTCATAGAATGGTACACAGTACAGAACGTACCATCCTTGAAAAAAAGGTTAAAGAACAAGTATGGTGTCTTTGTACTCCCAACACCATTCTGTACTACGGATAGTAGTCAAAGCTAGTATATATATATAGCTTTCCTGGATACTGAGGCTGATTACTGTTATGCAGTAAGTAAAGCTAGCATACACCTCTCCTAACTATGCTACTACAAGCCACTCTGAGTGATTTGCAGAGTGGGTAACACAGGCAAATGTCATACAAAAAGCCACCCTGGCTACTCCCTTCTATTACTAGTGTTGCAAACCTATGTGTTTAGGCACACATAAGCGGTATTGAGAGGCAGTGTGGGTACGGGGGTACTTCTCACTACGCAGACCTAAGACAGCTCAAGTAAACCTGAGAGTGCAGTTGTTGTTCTTACAGCTGACAATATTTCTTAAGCAGGGCTTGGTGCTTCAAACCTAAGAGATATTCAAGGCCATAAATGTTGCAATGATGTTCATCCAGTACTAGCCAAACAAGCCTTACCAAAACATGATTGTATAACGTACAATAACAAAGACAAAAAGCCTTAAAGTGTAAACCCTGGGTATAAGATTAACACTCATGCTAGCAGTAGTAGAATGTAACTACGTATGTAGTACATAACGGCACGCCAGGCATTGTTGACAAAGGCAGTTCCTCATAACAAGCAGCATCAGTAAAGTAATGCTACAGGTGGATCTTCAGAGTAACTTCATGCCCTACGCAGTGCGTAAAATGGGCAAACACTATATAGTTGAGGTAAGCCATTTGCTCAAGAGCATACGGGGTTTTTCACTCGTGTTTATCCCACTATTCTTCAATGCAATGGCTTCAGAAATTGACTTTTTACTATCATCCTGCCATTGGTATCTTGCATTGGCCGCCATTTACCCTCTATAATTACAGTGCCAGAAGAATAGACAAGCAGATGACAATCAGACAGAACATGCAGCAGGTTAATGAATATTGTAAATACGTACCTTGAAACGTTACTGAGTGCGTCCCACACAGCATCCTTCACAAGTTCAATACCCTCTCTTTTAACACCTTGTAGGCCTACCGAAAAGGATGATTCATTGGTAGAAGCATCATACCTGCAAATCGTGCAAAGCATCTATGTTACATGCTTCTTACTAGAATTCAGACTGAAAAGGCACTGAGGAATTCAGTATTGTAACTCCAGCGACAGAAAACGTAAATCAGAAGGATAGACATTAGGTCAATGTAAAACGCATTACAAACAGCTTACAGGGCCCCCACAGAAAAAATCCGATTTCCCCTTTCCTTGCAAGTGGTTCCCCTAGCTAAAAATAACTGACTACAATTTTTCTTTTTCTTTAGCCAGATTTCATCTGAAATATGATGTTTATATACAGGAAAAAATGAAAAGCATTGAAGTGCAAACCCTTGGCGAACTGCGAATGCGTGATACAGCTAATTGATGGGCTGGGCTATTAGTATGTGTTTAATCGTGGTCTCCTGCTAGAATAGCTCGCGGAGAGTCTGACACGGGCTAGCTACAGTAGTATATATGTAGCATGCGGGAGTCGATACACACCATTCGTTGTGACTTCTTGTGCCTCCAACGTACACAGAGCAAGCGGACCCAGTCGAGGTAAGACTGTGCTGATTTGCATATTGGCTTGTTCACTTGCCATAACTTCTGAACACAGCACTTTAACCATTTTAAAATAAAGCCTGAACCCGTTGGTGTCGCTGTTTTACCTGTTTGTTGCGCGTAGTGGCAGAAAACGTGGTAACTGACTGACAGACAGACAGACGGACATACAGACAGACACACTTACGAACCAGGTACTGTAACCCTCGATGTGCATGCACGCCAAGGGTTAAAATGTTACAACTAAGTGAGGGTGAAAAAGCAAACATTAGACAAAAAACCAACCTATGACCCACAGACGACTCTGTCTTTTATTGAGCACCACATTACACACACTTTACGGAAGTGAAAATTATCAATGTCTGGTGTGTACATTGAGACATTGACTGTCTTGAGGCTAGCACACAAGTTTTGTTTCAATCAGATTCTGTTTTCTAAAACCCCTTTCACAATCAACAGATGAAACCGGAATGGTTAGAGCTAATAATAGCATCTGTAGGTATTGGTATTACATTTTACTTGAACTCGGTAGCCGCTTGGCACCCTTCATTGATGAGCAGCTGAATTTCTAGCCTTGAAAGTGATCCATTCCCTTTCAACTCCTGGGCATCAAGTACAGGTTGAAGTTCAATCCCATCAACAGTCTCCTTTGAGATGCCATAGTGAGTGGCGAGAGTGTCAATTTCATCACTGCCATACAGATGTAACAGGTAAATTTTGAGGATCAAGACTGGAGTACCAGCCAACCATTTCTGGAAAACGGAATTTGAGGTTGTCGATCAATCTATTGGTGAAATTAATTTTGTTACCCGATTTTGGCTGGCAGATAGATTATGCCCCAGATAGTAAAATGAGTGAGACGTTGATGCTGGCATAGCCGTAACTTCACTCAGAAATTTTTGGAGCTTTGGCCCAGGGGTGGTTTTCAATGTTGCTAGGGCAGTTGTGAAGTCAAAGAGTTGTGAAGTCAACTTGACTCCCTTGAAAGCGTTTGTGTAGTCTGGCTAAAACAGGGAGGACATCTCCAAGCAGATAAGTCATTGCCAAAAAGCTGAGTTGTCATATACCCCAGAATGCCGTTTGCAGTAGGATCAGTAGAGCTATCCTCAATTAAAACACTAAACAAAGCGTCAAGTGATGCATCCACAGCTCCTTCAAAGGATAGCCATTGCGTGTAAAACACGAAATTTTCGTTTAACAGATTTCAAAACTCATTTAATTTGCTGCATATTTGGTTGAATAATTTAACAAAGAGTTTGCATTGTTCAAACAGAACAACATCTGCAGCTTGACTACTGGCCAAGACTAGCCTATGGGCTATGCAATGAACCGACAAAACAAAAGGATATTTTCCTCTTTAGCTGTGTGGTAGCCCAATTCGAGATCCAACCATAACACTAGCTTCATCTGTAGCTATACCACAAAGCTTTTCCAGCGATAGACCCTTACTAGTCAACACTTTCAAACTATTTCAGATGCTGTTCTACCGGTAAGTCGATCAGGCTGTAAAACGAGGCTGAACCTCACCGTTCAGCACATAGCACGCACACATAACCAAACTGTGATCTATGGCGTTATCAGTGGATCCATTCAGTGAAAGGGAGAAAAAATTGGTGTGAGACAGGTCTTTCTCCAAACATTCATCGACCACAGCAGCAATGGCTTCTTGAAACACTCTAGACTCTCACTATGTTCGTAAGTAAACTGACGCCCTCCACGTCCACACTGAAAACTGAGATTACCAATGTCTGTACTGCCTTGCAAAATACATTTCAAACGAAAAGCACTAAAGTGCAAACCCTCGGCGCACTAGACAAGCGTGGATGTCTGAGTACACATATTGCACATGTGTGGGTCGGTACCTCTAATTGATGGCTGGGCTATGCTGTCATACTCTTGTCGTGGTCTGTAGCTAACTCTCTGAGTCTGCCACGGGTAAGATAACATTTTAGGCATAGCGAGACTTGACACTCGTCCTCTGTGGTTACCAGAGGAACCTCGAGAAAACCCCCGTGGTAACTTCCTTCGGGACGGTAAACAATCAGATTAGACTTATTTTTTCCCTGCACTCTCTAGCTATAGACAAGGTATTCAAGGTGGTTGGTTGGTCTGTCCTTCTCCCTACTTGCTTGCAAAAAGTATGAAAGTTAAGAAGGTGAATCTCGATCAGACTCAGTTTGAGAGCGAAAACTATGTCGACGGACACGGGAGAGAGAGAAACGTGTCGTCGAGCCATGTGGCTGGAACACATACCCGTTAAATTCGACATGCTTGACGGCGAGTGTTGTGTCACAAATAGCAGCAGCTCTGGGGCTACCAAAAGCATCACTGGCGGACTCCCAGCAAATGGTCATAGGGTCTCTGGCAGAGGAACGAGAGCCGCGCAAAGTCCAGGTGGAACTGGTGGAATCCGAAGACGGCTTAACAATACAGCTGAGAGATGAGGGAGGGGTTTTCTCGAGGTTCCTCTGGAGCAGCAGGACGGAGAAGATGCCGGAGAGGACGGCAGTGGTCATGAGAAAGATGGAGGTGTCGGTCGAGACGGAAGCAGAAGTCGAGACAGACCCGGAAGCGGAGTGTCGGAAGAGAAGGCATCAACAGCGACTGAACTGGAGTCTGCGTGCGCACGCATAACCGAATTGAAGGCAGAGCTGCTACAGTTGACCAAAGTGAACCAGGAACCAGGAACTTGTGGAAGAGGTGCGAAATGTAACTGATAAACTAAATGAGGAGAAAACTAAGTATAATGTTCTGTGGCGCATGAACTGTGATCAACTGCGGGAGTATGATGAAGCATTGGCAGCCAAGGAGGAGAAGCTCTTCAGCCTGGGGGCCAAGCTTGCATCCCTTGAATAAGTTCCCAGCACTGCAAGAGGAGTGACCAGGAGTAGTACGTCAAGTCCTGTCGTTGTTGACCTCAGGAGTACAGAGGCTGTACTAGCTTCTTCGTGCAGTGCCATTAGGACTAGAGACGAAACTATAGTGCCTGAACCATCTAGCGTCAGAAGATCAATGGAGCCTCGAGATGATGGGAGAGATGGTCTTAGTAGTTCGCAGCGAGGTAAGGCATTGCCAGTAGGCCAGTAAGGCATTGCCCAGTAGGCCAGTAAGGCATTGCCATTCAATGGGGAGGCAGCAGACACCACTTTCGATGACTAGTTACCATTACTGAGGCACGCTGCTGATTGGAATAGATGATGAGACACTCATCCAGCTCGCCGGACACCTCCGTGGCCATGCCCTACAAGAGTGTACGCTCCTACTCACTTCAGAGGAGTCAGTGAATACAGCGGTCAGTGTGTTACGTAACAGGCTTGACCCCGATAGTAGAGCCCTTGCTGCACAAGACTTCACATCCCAGCTGGAGCAGGAGCCTGTGTCTGATTACATCAGCCGCCTCGAGCAATTATTTCGCAGAGCCTATGGACATAAAGGAATGTCTGATGAGACACGTGAAACACTATTCCATAGCCAACTCCAGGATATGAGCTGATGAAGGTGCCCGCTGTCTTGGGGTCTTATACCCATAGAGAACTCTCTAGCCGCAAGGAACGAGAAGAAGAGGCTTGCTGAACTAGCTAAAAGGAGGTAGTACCTCAAATACCAAACAGTCTCAGAAGGCCCAGGGAGGACGATTACCCCTGCGGCCGCACCTCGTGACCCGGCATCACAATAATGGAATGGGAGAAACACTCAAGACCAAAACCCTGGGCCCCGACGCTGTTTTATCTGTCACAGGCCTGACCATCTTGCCAGAGACTGTACTGACCGCAGGAGTGGGCAAGCCAACCGAGGAGGGACTAAGTTCAAGCCTTACCTAGTGTGCCCGGCCTGCCAAGAGGCCAGAGATCTTCCCTTTTCTCTTCGGACTCTGAAGAAGACGTTGAACACGACAAGTGCGGGTGACTGATAAAGGCAGCAGAAAACAGTATGAAGTACAACTCAAAAGAGTACCCACCCTTGTCATCATTGACAGTGGGTATGATAAAACTATCGTCGGAGGGGACTTATTTGGACACATTTCCACTGTTGCCAAAGCAAGTTACAGAAACCCGAAAAGGTTCCCAGAGCCTATAACGGGAGGACGTTCACATTGGATGGGTGTTGCCTTCAATGGGGGGTGTCCATGCGAACCCCAGTCTACATCAAGGCTGATGCTCCTGAGCAACTCTTACTAGGCGAGTGACTGTGCAGGCAGCCAGCTACAGATTATCAGCTATCATCCCACAATATTCAACTGGAAGAGAAAACGAAGAGAAACTGGAAGCCTGGAAGACATGTCAGTACCAGCGAGATCACAACACACCGATAAGATGTCACCCAAGGAGAACGGAGACACAGGAGGACCAGGAGAAAAACAACCCCAGCAGAAGAGCCAGGAGGGCCCTGGAGACTCCACACCTGCTGCAACCGAGATCAATGAGGGGGACCAACCTCTACTGGAACACAGGGATACAGTGACAACCAATGACTCTTCCAAGAACGTTCCTGACTCAACTGGAGACGCACAGACGTCGGTCGGCACTCATGGTGTGTCTAACAGCGCTCAACTTCCATGTATAGTTAGTGGAGACGCCCTGTAACACAATGTGTTGATAGAGAAACTAAAACGGAGAAGCAACTGAAGAGGAAGAATGGTGCCGATGGTTAGAGTTTACCTCTTGTAGACAGTACGTGTACCCCTCCTGCCAACATGTCGTAGCCTTAGCCAAAGTGGAGTGTGACCCACCCCCTGGGTCAATCACCTTCGAGCCAGATGAAAGAGTAAAGCAAAAGTGGGGTGCCCACACTGAGAGTTCAGAATTGAACAACAAGAGATGGCTTTGGGTACTTCTGGACAACGCTACTGGATTCACTATCAACATTGAAGCGGAAAAGGTGCTGGGTAGTGCTGCAGGAGGCAGCTGTAATCCAGAGCCAGGAAGAGCATCCACCCCCAGGAGAAAGTGCTCACTGTAAGAGTGAGCTCAGAAGAGGTATTTGAACACCTGATGCAACAGGTAATTTCAGGTCTCAACACAGAGAATGGTCTCCGTATACATTGATGACATCTTGGTCTTCTCAAGAACCCTGGGTGACCACTTGAGGCATCTCCAACTGGTCATTGACAGACTCACTGAAGTGGGCTAGAAATTGAAGCCAGCTAAATGCAAATTTGCTCAAAAGGAGATTGAGTATCTGGGCCACGTTGTTTCTCAGGAGGGACTAAGGACTACCCCACGTCTAGTAAAAACAGTTACAGAGTTCCAAGTGCCAGACTCAGTTCAGGAGACAAGAAGATTTCTTGGGTTCTCGTCATATTACCGCAGATTCATTCCAAGAATAGCCCAACAACTGCATGTTCTCACACGCAAGAATGTGCCATTCCTTTGGTCACAAGACTGCAACCGAGCGTTTGAAGAATTGAATCGACGATTGACCTACAAACAGTGCGAAGCAGTGCTTCACAAAAACGTGCACACAATAAGAAATTTTCTTCTCTTCATTTTGCAAGGTATTTTGATGTACCCCTACAAAACAAACCTTTCTAAAACAATATGTACCACCAACTGCTCATAATATGGGCACTCAGACAACATCAATCATCCTCATCTTTACTTTTGCCATCATTATTCTCCATCCCTTTCCAGATTACCCACTCCTTCGTATTATGCTCCTCCCAATCTTCTATTCAACCGTTCTCTACAGCTGCCAAGCTATACCATGTTTTTCTACTTCACAGTCTGTGATACCGCACCATACACAGTTACCAAGAATCTCACACCTTCCTGAGATGACTGAGCAGAACTTGCATCTCTAACGGAGAAAGGGGCTTCACGCTAACGTTAGCAGTCCTGATCTCAAACACAGCCTCTGAGCGTCGGAAGGTATTTGGCTCATCGCATTTTTCCGCGAGTTATCCCCATATCTTGTAAAAGGTCACACATTGTTACATAAACAATGCAGAACAAATTATGTCTTCAATAAAGCCAATAATAGTGGCTGCATTGAATGGATAAACACCTTACCCAGTGTTTGGTGTATACTCAGACCCAATGTTGCTCTCTATAAGCGTCTGGTATAAAGGAGATGAAGGGCCATCAAGAAGAAGTTTACTCAAAACAGACAATAAGAGTGAATGGTAGGCATCATTAACCCTGCAATTAATAAATAAAAACAGAAGACACTAGAACTGGGCAGACACCTAGAGCAATATGTAGACAGCATTTGTCCTACATACTAATTCACCGCTGCCCCCAATGACAACCTGCAGTACAATATGAAAATGGGACTCGTGGATTATCCTTACTTAACTCCAAAAAATCTAATGCTCAATGGGATCTATCCACTCAAAATTACACATTACTACAAATGCAACCTACTCCTAAGCTTCGGACTAAAGTATTTGTTAAGGAACTACACCCAAAAACATGACTTACATCTTTACACACGTAAACCAGCACGACACGCTTTAGTTGAATTTGAATAGGCCGTGGGTGTAACAGTTAACAGTCCCGATAAAAGTTCTGTTTCAAACTGAAGAACTTTATCAATGCCTTATTATGTGATACACATGTCTAGTAGTAGCTTCCATATATGATAATGTCAGAGACAACAATGCCGTAAAAACACTCTACTATACTGGTGGTCATGCAATTTGCCTTGCCTAACACAGTCCAGACAAACGAACAAAGTTACAATGAAAGTTACAGGTAAGTTTTTGTGAACGATTCTTCCGTGATCCCTTACCACCCTGATCACTAGCATTTGCAATCTACTAAAATGTAGTCATGTGATATATCGTTACATGGTTGAAAAATTAAGAACATACGGGAATAGAAGGAATGATATTCCAACAAAGTATCTTCCAGCTGTTTGTGCAGTGTTGTTTTCCCTGGGTCCAACAGTACAATATTCCCTCTGTTAAGTGCACACAAAAGCAATAATAATGAAAAGCACTAAAGTACAAAACCCTCGGCGGCGTGGAACCACGTACATATGTGGTTTGGGCTATGTGTCACATGCGTGGTTCCACGCCGCCGAGTACTGTTGTGTCACACTGCGGACATCTTCAGGAGTCTATCGCGCTCTCCATCGGTCAGCCCCCACTGCCTACAACGCTTGGAATGTAGATGAGTGCTGATTGCCAGCTCAAATAAGTATTTGCACCAGAAATGACAAGAAATATCCTCGAGTGCTGCCCTCAAACCCATGGCCGCTCAACGGTGCCATTTACGGCGAAGGACACGTGATCATTGTGCGCAACCCGCCAGTGTAACACACGCATGCGTTTATTTCTCGCTTCCTAGAAGTAAGCGAATACTAATTAGCACATTGGCTTGTTAACTTGCTTTTCACGCCATAACTTTTGAACGCTGTAGTTATACGAAAATCGTCTTTTTAAAAATGAACCCAGTGTAGCGATGAACCTGTTGGTATCGCTCTTTCGTTGTCTCGTTGCGCGTGGTTACAGAAAATGTGGTACAGACAGACAGACAGACAGACAAACTTAACCGACCATGTACAGTAACCTCGCAGTGCATGCGTGCCGAGGGTTAATGAGTGATACAAAAAGCACAGAGCTTCTTTACCATATTATGCAAAGAGCTAGAGATATATACTGGAGACACACTCAGAAAGCCTATACTACGCCAAGCGGTGCACTTCCTCGTACTTCTAGGTAAATATTAATGAATGGTACGATAAAAAAAGTGATTTAGTAGTACAACGATTGATGGCTATACATTTCCTAACTGACATCAATAAACACGACAATGTTGGTGTACTGACTGCGTATCACTACCTTGCCTGT